CAATGATACCATGATTCCAGGGAGAGGATGTGGAAAGTTGTTGATGCTCGCACTGCTCGAAACGAGATGCGCTGAAATTGTGGCCGCTTTTCTACGCTGGTCGTGTCCGCTGCCACAGACTGTTGCCGACGATGGCGATGCTGCTGGTGCACTCGTCACTTGATTCCGTGCCCAATGCGGCACTGACTGTGCTCTGACGTTTGTTTTCTTTGCAACTAGCAACTCAGACGGAAAGTCACTCTCTCTTTCTCTTTCGCTAGTCGCTGTATGTGCGCCATCTTCTCCCTCTTACAGGGCCAGTTGTGTATGATTTATCCAGCACGGTGCAAATATCAACAGCGCGACCAATCACTTGAGCAAGGAAGAGCTAGCAGCAGAGGATCTCTTTTCAGCTAACTTTCTTCAGTTCTCACATCAGCATGCTCCGGATTCTGCCGCAACAGTGAAAAGAGGCTTCACTTTGGCGCGCTCGTTTTCGATACTGACACATTAAATATGAAACAGCCATCAGAGGAGCAATCAGAGCGAGTATTTATAAACATTTTGACTGGCAACATCCTTTGCCAAAGACCGATTGTTTCTATTTTGACTGTGCGCTCAATCAATGCTGCTCTCTGCGGAGCGCGGGACCTTTGTCTGGTCAAGTTCAGCATGCCAGTGGCCAAGCTAAACAATTGGTATCTCTCTGACACGCACTCTCCCACTGCTCTGACTGCCCATTCTGTTTACGTTTCCATGACCACTTGTGACTATTAGCTGTGTGTGTGCAAACGCAAAACACCGACCAGCCGACCATCAGTGACCACCACTAGCACCATCACCAGGACCACAGGCAACAGCATCAGCATCACCACTACCACTTGATGGCTGATGCGGCGGCAGTGTTTTGCCGGGATGTTCTGCAGTTATCACTGCCAACATCGCCAATTGTTCAATTGTTTGTAAATCCAATTAATTTATTGGCCACAGTTTTAATTAATCTCTAAGCTGATGGTGATCATCGATTGACTGAAGGTAGCCCAGAAAGCAGGAATCTACTTTTTTCAAACACTTTTTGCAACTATGAAGATGACCAAGCGGTGAAATCGATTGGTGCACTCGCTTTGCTTTGCCTATAAATCAGTCGAACCTGTTCAGGAGAAGAAAGAAAAGACTGCCGCTCACCGATGCGCAGTGATTTGCATGCCTGCGCTTTGAGGCTGCTGCTGCTGTCTGTCTGCATAAGCACTTCTCTTCTGTTGTGTCATGATTCCCACTCGGTGTGGTAATAAGTCATTCCTCAGCGAGAGATCCAAATGCACAGACGCACACTCACTGAGAGACAGTCTGCACAGACCCTGCAACTGTTCTAATCTTGACATTTGAACATCTTTCTTTTCAACTGCAGCGCACTGTGTCCATCGCTTTGTGGTGCACCTGAAGGCTTACAGGCTTCCACTGAGAGACGTCAGTACAGTCTGGCAAAGCGTATTCACTTCAGCGTGTTCTGGTTTGCCAGTGGCAATGCTTAGGCCATGTCCGTCGGTGGCCAAATTAACTTGCCTTAGGCACGGCTTGCTTTTAATTTGATTAATCGACTGCTTCGCTTGACAGACTGAGAACTTTGACTCTGTAGTAGTGATGGCACTGATGGCAGTGGTGCTGGTTGTGCAAGTCAATGTTGAACAAGTTGTCTACTAAAGACGAGCTGCACCACGAACGCTCTACAATGAACACTGTCGACACTGGTGAATGCATTCGACGACTGCTGCTGCTGCTGCTACCAATGATTAGCAAACATTTAGACAACTCGTCTCGGTGCTTGCCTTCCACATAGTCTGTTTATAGNCTTGACAGACTGAGAACTTTGACTCTGTAGTAGTGATGGCACTGATGGCAGTGGTGCTGGTTGTGCAAGTCAATGTTGAACAAGTTGTCTACTAAAGACGAGCTGCACCACGAACGCTCTACAATGAACACTGTCGACACTGGTGAATGCATTCGACGACTGCTGCTGCTGCTGCTACCAATGATTAGCAAACATTTAGACAACTCGTCTCGGTGCTTGCCTTCCACATAGTCTGTTTATAGGATCTTAATGTTCGATTAGTAATTACAAGGCAAGAGGTAATCGATTGGAGCAAGGCATGCACTAACAAAAAGGTAGTTCTCCCACCACTTTACCAGCGCCAGATTAAAAGGTCTAAAATTGAGAGATTTCAGGGAGCGAGAATAGCAAACTCTGTGTGCCTTTTATCTCAATCCCTGCTAATTGTCGGCACTTTTTGTTATTCAATAAAAAATGAGGGCCTGAAGAAGTTTTGAAGAGTACTAATGTGCAATGGCAATAGCAATTACATGCTTGTAATCAGCGTTGATTATAGCGCGCTGTGCTGGTGACAATGTCGCGCGAGTTGACGCCACTATGACTTGCCTCGCTTTTATCGCTAAAAAAAGCAGCACCAAGGTAGTGCACCATCATCTTCAGTCGACAGTAGGTGTTTAGCATAGCGTTCACACTCAACCGGTAACGGGCTTTCTGGCAAATGACCTGACGGTGTGTTGATGCTTAAAAGATAAAAGATCGTGTAGCATTTTTGTCTTTTGGTGCTTTTGGAGTTTCGCAAATTTGCATATTAATTGAAGCAGAGTTAATGCGACTATGCGTGTGTGCTTGCAAGGCGCTGCAACCTAAACAAGCACCAATTATGCGAATCAGATGAAGAAGTGCCTAATCGGCAGTGTTTCTTTTTCTTTTCTTTCTTTTGCTGTGGCTGGCATAAAGTGTGCTCCAAAGTGGAGGTCGTCGCTCACTCGGGTCGTGCTCTCGCTGTAATTGGATTGGCCAGTGTATTATTTATACTTCCCAATGACCACTCGTTTGCCTGCTAGTTAGCTATTTGCACATTGCAATCCTTGCATCAACCAAGAGCTGTCTGTGGAAGATTTCATTAATTACCTGTACCTTTCGAGTAGTGCTGGTGTAGTAGTAGTGTAAACTGCCATTGAGAAGGAGCATACTATCTCTTAAGTAAATCCTCATTATTATTTCTCAGTAGATATATCTTCCGATAAATTATGGCACAAGAGAGCGGGCATTACAGGCACCTTAGCCGACAACGACGATGACGACGACCACATCGATTGATAAACGCGCCTATCGGAAGGCTGGCAGGGCACCAATGGCGCCGAATGGAATGAGATGCTCTGGTGTTGTGTGCTCCCTTCACACTAACATGCTATCAAACTGTATTCTTTGTTGCAATCAGTTTGTGCCCACGCCACTGCCAGTTAATTGAATTTCAATTGTGTGAGCATTAGAGCTGTATTTGATCAATCACAATGTTGCATTTGCATTTGCACGATTGCCATTGGCTTAGCTCTCTGCTTGCAATTTCTCTAAACGAAGAGAACAGCACTTTGAAGCAGGTATCGTGACAAGTTAGACCTGTCAATTGTGGCCCAGTGAAAAGCGACTGTTCTAAAAATAACATCTCAATTGAAGTCCCTTTGGTACACGAGTGCCAAACTGACCGCAGGCACTGTTGATCAGTTGTGGTCTCAGTCTTCCCACCTGCAACACTTGGTCCACTTTGACTTGCCTGACAATACATGAACTAAAACTGCCTTTTTTGCCACAAGCAGTGAAGGCACTTTTGTTTTTACAATATAATTTTGCTGTTCAGTTTCTTTCATCACAAACACTAAAATAACTTTGTTTGGTCACTAGCCAATCGTGATTAGATAGCGAACTTGCCCTCTCTTTGTCATTTTGACATTAGGCGACAAAAGAAGCAGAGGAAGAAATGCACGCGTGGATGACCACTATCTAGAGTGCTCGATTGTGTTTGATACATGCTCTTCGATCGATGGACGGTGCAGTTTTGTGCCGATGATTCCGAAGACACCGTATTCACCAAACAAACCCGGATAGAATGTTCGTGCACATTGGCCATTTGTTCACTGATTCAACTGTCTCCGGAACTCTGCCTTCTTCTAGACTTTGTCGTCTGTCTTCAGTTGATAGCGGCGAGCCGTTCTGCAAATGAATGAAAATGCTAGTGCTGAAACGCCAGAAATGGCAGTGAAAGATTGTCACGGACTGTGCTCACCCCAGCAACGATGCTGCCCAGTTAAAGACAGGTGTCAAGTGATGTGACTTTGTTGCCAACGACTGCTTGTGAGTGATTTGGAAAAAGCACGAGCTTCACGTCGTCCATTGAACAAATTCACAGTGATAACTTTCTGACAGTCAGACAGCAGTCGAGCTAATGTCCAACCAGTCTGAGTCGTATTGCTCATTTACTAACACAGAGTCAGAGAGGGTCTGGCAGCAAAAAACAAAATATCTGCTAATGGAATAGTACCGCTCTCTGAGGAGGACATGTAAACAAACAAAGCGCCTTGAAGATATTTGAAACTTTTATTGCCTTCCACTCTGAGTGAGTGGGCACAGACCGAGCTGGCACATTGCTGGGCACCGTTAAGGCACCGTCCTTTCTGCTTGAGACCACTCGCTGACCGTTAGTGGTGTCACTAGCACTAGCACTTTATGACTTCCTATCTGCTGTCCTTGCTGATAGTTGACCAGCAGGGCATTGCCACGGGCAAGAAAGGCCACTTACGGCTCTATTAGTCTCACTCACACATGGCTGTAAACTGACTGGGCTCAGTTGACAGCAACGGCAGTTAAAGCGGTGCTCATTGACAGCAGTGGCTTGTCTTCTAAGTTTTAGACCCTGTAGCCAAGGGCAATTCCCGGAATTCTAGCGTCAATGAGACAATTTGAAACAATGTCGCCAGTGAGCTGTCGTTTGCCAAATGGACGAGTTTAACAAATAGCTCACTGAACACACTTAACAAGTTGATCCTAATCTAATTTTCGTTTTTTATTCTCCCCCACAGAAACCCCCACTTTGTGATAGTCGACACAACTCTTCTCTTCTACTTTCTCTTTCTTCTACTTCCTCTCCTTATTTTTTCCTCTCTAGCGGCACCTTTGCCCGACCATGTGCGACAGTATGAGTCCGTATTTCACCAACAGCAGCAACACCTTACCGGCGTATCTCAGCGGCACCGGCCCCAGCCCCCACCACGAGCAGTACAACGGCGAAGTACTGCAGCATCACATGCTGGGCAGCTGCCACGAGAACGGACGAGGCCCGCCGATCGGCCCACCGCAGCTGCTCTCCTACTCGCCCCACCAGCACGCCCACCACCACCACCACCAGTCGATTCACTACGGCCACCAGCATCCGCATCCGCAGTACCCTCGCTTTCCACCCTACGACCGTCTGCCTGAGCAGCACAGCAACTCGGGCAAGCCGCCCCAGCCGCAGCCGCAGCCGCCGCAGCAGGGGCAGGCACAGGGCCAGCACTGCGGCCCAGTGGCGGACGGCGGTGTGGTGGTGAGCCACAGCGGAGAGACTAGTCCATATTACAGCAACTGCGCCGGCAGTGCGCCCCCGCCTCCCAGTCAAGTCGGGGTGCCCTCCGGACAGCAGCAGGCGCAGCAACAGCAGCAGCAGCCACTGGTGCCGCTGGCTGGGCAGACTGCCTCGCAGTACGAGCCCTGCTCTGGCCGCGGCTCCATAACACCTCCCTCGCTGGACGGCAGCAACGGCCCCGTCGGAGGGCAGTACGGCAGCTGCAAAATGCAACCAATGCTCGCTCACACTGACAGCATGCCGCCGATCGGCCACAACTCGCCCTCGCCGATCCACGGTCAGCACCAACTCTACGGAAGCGGCCCCGTCGGAAGTCCGTCGCAAAATTCCAACTCTGCCATCTCATCGCCACTCTACCCCTGGATGCGATCACAGTTTGGTGAGTCTTTTCTTCCCTTCCGTCCTATAATCTCTCTGCGTACTTTTCACTCTTTTTTCTCATTGAAATCATTGTCATTGCATTGCTTGATTCTAAAATTGAAATGACTTCTTCAAAAAGACAATATTAAGACATTTCCACACTCACGCATTTCGTAATTGTGTGTTGTCCGAGTCAGGCAATCGAAAAACACTGCCATTACCTTTCCGCATAATGGCCTGTTTATCTTATAACAACCGTAATTCCCATCACCATAATCATCATGTTTTATTCCGCCTTTATTGTCGTTTTGAAGCAGTTAACTTCTAATGACACTAGTAACTATATTTGTCAAGTTAGGTGTTTGCTAATGCAGAGGAATTATCTTTGAATTCCTTAGCAATTTTTCATTTTCATTAAAAAATTTTGTTTTTATAATCAAACACAGTTAACTAGTAATTAGTAATTAGTAAATTTAAGTAATAATCTTCAAAATAGCGCAACTCAAAAATTGATTTTTGCAAAATTGAAGGGCACTTAGCTCGCGCCCTCTTTTGTTCCAGAATGAAATTAAAAATTGATTTTGAAGTCGAGTTGAGGGATAATCGAAGAGATGGCGCTAAAAATAACTCAAACAATTTTTCGATTATTTAGAAAAAAAGTGATGATTTTTACTAGTAAAAATGACAATTCTGCTAATTTGCAACTTTTCATAACAAGTTTTTCTTTAAAAAACAGTTAGCAAATATTGTGGCAAATATTAAGNAAATTTAAGTAATAATCTTCAAAATAGCGCAACTCAAAAATTGATTTTTGAAAAATTGAAGGGCACTTAGCTCGCGCCCTCTTTTGTTCCAGAATAAAATTAAAAATTGATTTTGAAGTCGAGTTGAGGGATAATCGAAGAGATGGCGCTAAAAATAACTCAAACAATTTTTCGATTATTTAGAAATAAAAGTGATGATTTTTACTAGTAAAAATGACAATTCTGCTAATTTGCAACTTTTCATAACAAGTTTTTTTTAAAAAAACAGTTAGCAAATATTGTGGCAAATATTAAACTGTTTTGCTAACTTTTACAAACACTTTCTCATTTGAAAATTGTTTGAAAGCTTTCTAGTGCTTTGAGATAGGTTAAACAATGTCTTTAAAGTTTCTTTGAAACACTAAAAATTGATTGCAAATGCTTTAGCACATTAAAATAGCAGCAATCAATTGTATGACATTGTATCAAGTTTACTTTATTGGCGGCTTTAATGTCGAGTACNTGTCTTTAAAGTTTCTTTGAAACACTAAAAATTGATTGCAAATGCTTTAGAACATTAAAATATCAGCAATCAATTGTATGACATTGTATCAAGTTTACTTTATTGGCGGCTTTAATGTCGAGTACAAATCTACAGTCTGTCTACCATAATTGCTTTTTTATTGACATAACAACTTGCATCTAATGATTTGCAATACGTTGACTGAGTAAATGTTTGGTAATTGAACTTGACATTGACTTTTTGTCGTTCCAAAAACATGTTTGTTTTTAATGTTTTGCAAATGGTAGTTGTGCTATAGCTTTTTTGNTTAATGTCGAGTACAAATCTACAGTCTGTCTACCATAATTGCTTTTTTATTGACATAACAACTTGCATCTAATGATTTGCAATACGTTGACTGAGTAAATGTTTGGTAATTGAACTTGACATTGACTTTTTGTCGTTCCAAAAACATGTTTGTTTTTAATGTCTTGCAAATGGTACTTGTGCTATAGCTTTTTTGTTAACTTAGGTACATTTTAAGTTTATTTTTACATTTAGTGATTATTTAG